TTGCATTGCTATACAGTTTAAGTGATAATTGTCTGCATTTGTATGCCTTATATTGTATCACATTTACCATTTCTATCTCATATTAATCTGAAATCCAAATTGAACCTTGATAATAACAAATCTAAATTATAAATTTTAAAATAAATCTGATGATTTTAAAAAGTTCTTATTGTCCATTATATAAAAGGTAGAAATTTAGGAATTTAACCAAGCTCTTGTGTTATGCTGATATGTATTAATATACATTGGCATAATGAAAACAATATGAACTTTGATTACATTTAAGTAAACTTTTAACACCTATACTAATCTGATTGAATTGATTGGCGAAAGGTTGTGGTGAACGCTCTCATCCAAGCGATTCCGGCCATCTTTAATGTATTACTCGTTTGTCTTATATTTTGGTTAATCTTCTCAATTATGGGCGTTCAGCTATTTTTGGGCAAATTCTATCAATGCATTGACAACACAACTAAAATTAAATTAAACTCCACTTATATCCCCAATAAATTAACGTGTCTTAACACGAATGGCACCATTNTTACTCATTTCTATTATGGGTAAAGCAGTGGGAGATTTGGGTAACTTGACGTTTGTATTGGCTATCATTATATTCATATTCGCCGTAATGGGAATGCAATTGTTTGGCAAAAACTATACGATGGAAAAGTAATGGCTTCTAATTAAGATAGTGTTGTTAAACAATAATTACTAAAATGTATTGTTTAATGAATAGTTTCAAAGGAGAAGAGGTGCCAAGGTGGAATTTCGTTGATTTCATGCACTCGTTTATGATAGTATTTCGTGTTTTGTGCGGAGAATGGATTGAGTCGATGTGGGACTGTATGCGAGTGTCAGGTGCCCCGTGTGTGCCCTTCTTTCTGGCCACTGTAGTGATCGGCAATTTAGTTGTACTCAACCTCTTCTTGGCTCTATTGCTCTCATCGTTCGGCGCGTCAAACCTGTCGGCGCCCACCTCTGACAGCGCAGACACTAAGAAACTACAGGAGGCTTTCGATCGGTTTTCCAAAGGAGGCAAATGGGTTAAGAATAAAGTACTCCACGCACTAAAGGTATTGATTGAGAAATTTTCATACAAATACATTTCTAATACTAAATTCAAATACAAATACATTTCTAATACTAAATTCAAATACAAATACATTTCTAATACTGAATTCAATTACAGATAATTCGATCAAAAACTCGCAATCAAATCGGAGACCAAACGGCAGATATAAGAGAAGAAATGGACGAAATGACGGGCGGAGAGATAGTACTGATGGACGGACAGGTGATGAGAGACAAGAAGTTGAGCCCTAAAGATCACACGGAACTGGAAGTGGTTGTGGGCGACGGCCTCGAGATTGCAATACAGGCCGGAAAACTGAAGTTTCAAAACAGCGCCAGAAATGTAATAAATTCAGTGAAATTAGGAAACGCTATAAAAGACGCACAAATGGAGAAGATTATGATCAACGCTGACAATCGGCTGACACTCGATGGCAAAGACGACGACAACCTCAGCAACAATTCCTACAATAGCCTCAAAAAGCCGTCCAGTCGTTCATCACTCGATGAGGACAAGAAGGATAACGAGGATCTCATGGGCTCTAAGGAAGAGCTCAACAAAAATGGCGAATTGAATGGTATGGCCGAGAATGTGGACGCAGACAAGTTAGAGACAGCCACTGCTGATGTCATAATCAGTGAATATCCGTCTGAGTGCTTCCCCGACAGCTTCTACAAGTACTGTCCCACTTGTCTCGAAGAGACACCATTTTGGATCAGATGGAAAGAAATTAGACTCAGATGTTATCAATTAGTGGAACACAAATATTTTGAAACACTAGTGATAACACTAATTTTGATTAGTAGTATGGCATTGGTATGTTTGATCATTTTCTGGTTTTGGAAAAATGTTTTTTGAATATCTTTTTTGTCAAATACTCATGAGTTTCTATGTAACCAAAGACGTGCCACAAATACCAATATTGCAGTTTCGTAATAAAAAGGTTTCATTAATCAATACATACTTGTATACAATATAACTTATAAGTATATTAAAACAATAAATCTATAATTATAATTACATCTATAATTGAAAGAAACATTTTTCCAAAACTATTTATATGCCATAATTTATAACCATTTAATACAATATGAATTGTTTTCACTTTATAGGCATTAGAAGACGTGAATCTTAAAAAAGATGAAACTTTTATGGAATACTTAGGATATATGGATAAGTTCTTTACAGTTATATTTTTATTTGAAATGCTTATCAAATGGTTGGCCTTTGGATTCATGAAGTATTTCACGAACGCCTGGTGTTGGCTCGACTTTGTTATTGTTATGGTGAGCTTGACACCCATTTCCTTACAATTATATTTAATTTTAGCGTTACTTTAATTAATCTTATGATAAGTGTATTAAAAGTTGAATAATTGAAAAGCGTGTGAAAGAGTGTATTGGAGTGAATGGAGTGAAAGGCTGTGATGAGTGCTGAATAGAGCTGTAGATATAGTTAGCATAGACTTACCAGACGCTTCCATTGGGTGCGAATGTAATATATTAACAGCGATTGAACATTGGCTGCACTCAATAGGTCTCATTATTTAACTGGGCTGTTGGCTTAGCAGGTTTAGGCAAAATACCTGCTTTCAAAACCATGAGAACATTGCGAGCACTCCGGCCGCTGAGGGCAATGTCCCGATTGGAAGGCATGAGAGTAAGTGACACCGTCTTCACCGTAAACCAAAACTTCTAAACTGAATCTAAACGTAGACTTAAAGCCAAAATCAATTACCCTTTCATTGGAATAGAGTTTGTCCTCATTTGTAGCTTTCATTGTCTGACTCGTAAGCAGTAGTCAATTGTGTAGATTTGCTTATAATTGCGATGAATTGTAGGTTTACAAGTTATCTGTGTATTAGTGGTGTGTTTTGTGTGTTTGCAATTGTTGTTTAGTGTATATCATTGTTGTTGTCAAGTATTGTCCCGCAATTGCTATGCTTTTCTACTCTAGAATAAGTAGTAATTGAGAGATGTATTGCAAAATGTAATATAATGTTCGGTAAGTATAGTGACAATAGTGGTAATGAGTCCAAAATCCATTTCCTTACATTAGCTAATCGTATGTTGTTGGAGGTATGTATTGACTGTTTAATGGTTTAACCCCACGTCCTGACCGACATAGGTATCAGTGATCAATCTGGTGGCCACGTGGTTCGGCGCCGGCAAAATCCAGGCCTTTAAAACTATGCGAACTCTGAGAGCATTAAGACCTCTGAGAGCTCTCTCGCGATTCCAAGGAATGCGGGTAAGAGTCACACCAAACACACTCTTTCTAACTTTTGCCTGACTTTCAATCATCGACTGTACGGTTATGTCATTCCCAACAACTATTTCAATGCAATTTCTTTCATTCAAATGATGGCAGTTTTAGTTTATATGAACAATTTTATTTGAACAGTAAGTATATAATGGTTGAGTAGTTGTCCTAATTGTTGGCTCCACCGGTCATTCATCGTCGTAAGTACGGACAGATCGCATGTTTTCGTTGCTTTGATGTTCACAACCAAATCAATGTTGCATTGCTATACAGTTTAAGTGATAATTGTCTGCATTTGTATGCCTTATATTGTATCACATTTACCATTTCTATCTCATATTAATCTGAAATCCAAATTGAACCTTGATAATAACAAATCTAAATCATAAATTTAAAAATACATCTGATGATTTCAAAAAGTTCTTATTGTCCATTATACAAAAGGTAGAAATTTAGGAATTTAACCAAACTCTTGTGTTTTGCTGATAAGTATTAATATACATTGGCATAATGAAAACAATAGGAACTTTGATTACATTTAAGTAAAACTTGTAACACCTATACTAATCTGATTGAATTGATTGGCGAAAGGTTGTGGTGAACGCTCTCATCCAAGCGATTCCGGCCATCTTTAATGTATTACTCGTTTGTCTTATATTTTGGTTGATCTTCTCAATTATGGGCGTTCAGCTATTTTTGGGCAAATTCTATCAATGCATTGACAACACAACTAAAATTAAATTAAACTCCACTTATATCCCCAATAAATTAACGTGTCTTAACACGAATGGCACCATTTGGTACAATCCGCAGATGAATTTCGACAATGTTTTGAACGCATATCTATCACTCTTCCAAATAGTATGCATTTTAAACATTTGGTAATTTCGTTAATTCATGAATTGTGTGTTTGTCTCACTTAAGGCCACTTTCAAGGGTTGGCTCCCAATTATGGACAATGCGGTCGACTCGCAGCAGAAGGAGTTCTATCAGCCGGAAAAAGAAGTCAATCTCTATATGTATTTGTATTTCGTGTTCTTCATTATCTTTGGTTCGTTTTTTACGCTAAATCTGTTCATTGGAGTCATTATCGATAACTTCAACGAGCAAAAGAAGAAGGCCGGCGGCTCTCTAGAGATGTTCATGACTGAGGACCAGAAGAAGTACTACAACGCCATGAAGAAAATGGGATCCAAAAAGCCGGCCAAAGCCATACCCCGTCCCCGGGTATAGAGACACTCCTTCTATACTTTTGAAACACCATATTTTACTGAATAATGTTTGTGTTTCAGTTCAAACTTCAAGCAATAATTTTCGACGTCACCACAAACAAGAAGTTTGATATGATTATTATGCTGTTCATCGCTCTTAACATGATTATTATGGCGATGGATCAGTACAGAGAGTCGGAAACATATAACCTAATACTCGAGCGCTTAAACCTATTCTTCATCGCCGTGTTTACGGCCGAATGTATGCTCAAGATATTCGCTCTCAGATGGTATTACTTCAAAGAGCCCTGGAATGTGTTCGACTTCGTGGTCGTCATCCTCTCTATTCTCGGTATTTCTCAGTCAATACTATTACGAATCAATTGATTACTAAAATACTGTTTGTTTGCTATCTTCAGGGGTTCTTCTCAAAGATCTGATCGCAAAATATTTCGTTTCGCCGACTCTTTTACGAGTGGTTCGAGTGGTAAAAGTGGGTCGAGTTCTTCGTCTAGTGAAGGGCGCACGTGGTATAAGGACTCTACTGTTCGCGCTGGCGATGTCACTGCCGGCCCTCTTCAACATCTGTCTGCTCCTGTTTTTGGTTATCTTTATTTACGCCATATTTGGGATGTCTTTCTTCATGAACGTGAAGCCCAGATATGGTGTGGACGAGACATTCAATTTCGGCACATTCTTCAAGTCATTCATCCTATTGTTCCAAATGTCCACATCTGCCGGTTGGGACGGCGTGTTGGCCGCCATCATGGATGAGACGGACTGTGAGCCGACCAGAGGTGACGTCGAAGGAAATTGTGGCAATCGAGGCATAGCTATCGCTTTTCTGGTGTCATATCTCATCATTGGTTTCTTAATTATCATAAACATGTATATCGCCGTCATTTTAGAGAACTATAGTCAGGCCACTGAAGACGTTCACGAGGGCCTTACCGACGATGACTATGATATGTATTACGAGATTTGGCAGAAATTCGACCCAAAGGGCACTCAATTCATACCATTCCATGCGTTGCCTGACTTTGTTCACGCACTTGAAGAACCCCTACAGATACCAAAGCCTAACAAATATAAGCTAATATCAATGGATATTCCCATTTGTGTGGGGGATATGTGTTATTGTGTGGACATATTGGACGCACTGACCAAAGACTTCTTTGCGCGAAAGGGTCACGTGATTGAGGAGACGGCAGAGTTGGCCGAAGTGTCGCCGCCCAAGTTGGGAGAGTTTGAACACATCTCCAGCACTTTGTGGCGCCAGAGAGAGGGCTATTGCGCCGCTATTATCCAACAGTGTTGGAGGGATTACATCGACCGCAAGACCAGACATAAGGACGACCCGAACTATGCCTCCCGGCGCCAATCGACGGCCATAATTGTGGAGAGTGACGGACACGTCACCAAAAATGGGCACAAAGTTGTGATTCACTCGCGATCGCCAAGTATTACAAGCAGTCGTTTTACTGATGTGTGATATTGTATCAGACATTTCCATACATTTATAGCAATTGTCGATAATTTTTATTACAATATATTCATATATATTATATTCCTCTCAACCCCTGGATCTCAAATCAACAACTGATCCGCGACTGTGTTAACCATAAGAATAGCGCAGTTCTCAGCACTTTTGAACTCATCATTGAATAGTTATCAGCACAAGAGGTGCACAAAGACAACATCCCTCTCATGTTCATCCGTACGTGCATTTAAGCACGCGTTCAATGAATTAAAAAATTAAGCAAATCTTATAAATGAAACCATTTTTGCATTCATTTCATAGACAATTCGTTTTTGGACTAAAGTTTTCTTATTTATATCAAAACTCAAATGATATCTAACTATAAATTGAATTGAGTTTATATTATAATGATTAAGACTATAGTAACGAATATTTAACAAATTTAATAATTCAATCATAACTTACATTATGCCGTAAGTCTCAGTCATTTATTTTTATATTCATATTAGTTTTTCTTCAATACTATAATTTGCATCGAATTTCAAATTCATAAACACATTAATCACTGTATTATACAACAAATAATAATCTGTTTTTACAATAACTACCACTTTCTGGTACTTTCACAGTAATCATCAAATCTGATAAACTTATGCTTCGGTTCACAATTAACACAACTATAGCCACAACTATAGCCACTTTCCCTTCAAAACAATCAAAAAAAGTAATTTAGATTTTACTCAAAATACTGAAAGTATCATAGATTTAAGCATTTGTTTATATAAAGTTTTATCGGTTATTGAAAATAATACGAGTTATATAACGACATTCCCGGTGCTCTACAACTGAGAACATGACATGAAGTTTGATTTTTTGACAATTTGTTAAAACAAGAAACTATTATAATTGCTGTTTTGAAAATTTATTTATTAAAACTTAATATAAACTTTATTATTATTAAAGATAAATGGTATCGCATTTGGACACGAATTTCAATAAATTCTTGTTTTAAGTCCAGAATGCGGTCAAAAACTGTGCCTTTTTATAAACTATTAAATTAGAAAATAATGTTTTAATTATTTCATAATTTGGTGCAAACTTATGCATTACAAACGCTCACAAAATATTATTTATTTCATTGTTAATACAATTATAGTATACTATTATTATTATTATTATTATTATTGTTAAAACTAATAAAAATTTTAATATTAGTTCAAAACTTGGAAAACCAATTTTTATGATTTAAGTTCACAATTAAGGGCAAAATAGATTTAAATGAAAATGTAACACACATTACATTTTGGTTTAAACAACAACTAAATAACGAAAAACAAGTGATTCAAACAAATATGAGACCAAACTTGTGACGATTGGTCTCTACGAACAAACTTTAATGACTTATAACTTAAGACATAATACAATACAATATAATTATATGCCTGTACTGTATCTCACTATGCATTCAACTGTCATTCAAACTGAATTCAATTAGTTAATCAAACAAATATTGTACTGATTTCTAACAAATAAAACCTAATTTTGTGAGCTTTCACTCAATTGTCCACTCATTTCATTTCAATAGGTTTTCAAGATATATGAGTATATAGTGTTCAGAGATCGACACAATCGCCAAATACTCACTTATTATTCTCAATGCAATCACACTTTCAAAGGTTTTTAAAATATGATTCTACACGAGATCTGAACATAATATGTCTTATGTCTCATATTATGAGACAAATATCAGTGCAGTACTCGATTACACGGCAATCAATACACATTGAGTGCACATTGATATACCCGTAAAACTTTATAAGTGATCCTAGTTAACTCACTTTTAATATAATCATATAATAGGCTAGTTAGCAAGGTGAGAACTATAGAACTATTGCAAATAATGTATGAATGGGTTATCGAAATATAATTAGTTTATTAGTGACAACAATCTCATTGAATACATGGATATCAGTATGTCTTAGAGGAAGGCAATGATGAGAGCAGTGGTCGTAATGAAGACAAGTGACAGAAGTGAGTGTCAGAAGTCAGTGACTCTTCCCTTGCGCTCCCAATCGCCGAAGCGGGTGGGCTCAGGCCCTGTCGGACCCCCTCTCTCGCCCGTCCGAGGATTCACGCCATCCGTGAAGGCGGCGAACGGGTCTTCATATGACTCGTTGTCCTCACCATCACTCAGACCCTCACTATGACTATGACTATGACTCGTATCCCCAGAATTGGCGTCTCTTTTAGGAGTTCTGTCGAGTCGTCCCAAAGGACTGTTTGGATCCG